GGTGTTACAGGTGTTATAGATGTTACAGGTGTTATAGGTCTTATGATACAGGTGTTATAGATACAGATGTTACAGGTGTTATAGATACAGGTGTTATAGATACAGGTGTTATAGATGTTACAAGTGTTATAGATACAGGTGTTATAGATACAGGTGTTACAGGTGTTATAGCTACAGGTGTTACAGGTGTTAGATACAGGTGTTATAGATGTTACAGGTGTTATAGATGTTACAGGTGTTATAGATACACGTGTTATACGTGTTATAGATACAGGTGTTTTACAGGTGTTATAGATACAGGTGTTATAGGTGTTATAGATACAGGTGTTACAGATGTTTCCGGAAGTTACAGATGTCACAGATTTTACAGATGTTACAGATACAGGTGTTACAGATGTTATAGGTGTTACATATGATACAGGTGTTACAGATACAGATGTTACAGATACAGGTGTTACAGATGTTATAGGTGTTACAGGTGTTACAGATACAGATGTTACGGGTGTTACAGATACAGGTGTTACAGATGTTACAGATGCAGGTGTTACAGATGTTATAGATACAGGTGTTACAGATGTTATAGGTGTTACAGGTGTTACAGATGTTACGGGTGTTACAGATACAGGTGTTACAGATGTTACAGATGCAGGTGTTACAGATGTTATAGATACAGGTGTTATAGATATAGGTGTTATAGATACAGGTGTTATAGATGTTACAGGTGTTACAGGTGTTATAGGTGTTGTAGATACAGGTGTTATAGGTGTTATACAGGTGTTATAGATACAGGTGTTACAGGTGTTATAGATACAGGTGTTATAGATGTTACAGGTGTTACAGGTGTTATAGGTGTTATACAGGTGTTATAGATACAGGTGTTATAGATGTTACAGGTGTTACAGGTGTTATAGGTGTTATACAGGTGTTATAGATACAGGTGTTATAGTTGTTATAGATACAGGTGCTACAGGTGTTATAGATACAGATGTTATAGGTGTTATAGATACAGGTGTTACAGATACAGGTGTTATAGATACAGGTGTTATAGATACAGGTGTTACAGGTGTTATAGATGTTACAAGTGCTATAGATACAGGTATTACAGGTGCTACAGGTGTTATAGATAAAGGTGTTATTGGTGTTATAGATACAGGTGTTATAGGTGTTATACAGGTGTTATAGATACAGGTGTTACAGATGTTTCCGGAAGTTACAGATGTCACAGATGTTACAGGTGTTACAGATACAGATGTTACAGGTGTTACAGATACAGGTGTTACAGATGTTACATGTGTTATAGGTGTTACAGATGTTATAGGTGTTACATATGATACAGATGTTACAGATACAGATGTTACAGATACAGGTGTTATATATGATACAGATGTTACAGGTGTTATAGGTGTTACATATGATACAGATGTTACAGATACAGGTGTTATAGGTGTTACATATGATACAGATGTTACAGATACAGATGTGACAAGTGTTATAGGTGTTACATATGATACAGATGTTACAGATGTTATAGGTGTAACATATGATACAGATGTTACAGGTTTTATAGGTGTTACATATGATACAGATGTTACATATACAGATGTGACAGGTGTTACAGATGGTACGGGTGTTATAGGTGTTACAGATGTTATAGGTGTTACATATGATACAGGTGTTATAGGTGTTACATATGTTACAGGTGTTACAGATACAGATCTTACAGATACAGGTGTTACAGATGTTACAGGTGTTATAGGTGTTAGATGTTATAGGTGTTACAGATGTTACGGGTGTTACAGATACAGGTGTTACAGATGTTACGGGTGTTACAGATACAGGTGTTACAGATGTTACGGGTGTTACAGATACAGGTGTTACAGATGTTACGGGTGTTATGATGATGTAATAACATGATTCTGTTTTTGCAGCAGACAAAGTTAACTTTATCCAGAAACAGTTCAACTCTGCAGAACGTCTCCATGAGGAGCAAGAGTGAGTACACACACAGACACACACACACACACACAGACACACTGACACACACACACACACACACACACACAGACACACAGACACACACTGACACACACACACACACACTGACACACACTGACTCTCTGCTGCCCCCTCAGGTCAGTTGAAGGAGCGTCCGACTTCTGCCATTTACGCGTCAGATCTGCGTCTGTCCAAACGAGTGCGATCCAGTCTCTCCCTCTCCAAGAGTGTGTCTACCAATAACATCGCAGGGTGAGGGACCAGAAGGAGACCGAGACCAGAAGGAGACCGAGACCACAGAGAGACCGAGACCAGAAGGAGACCGAGACCGGAGAGAGACCGAGACCAGAAGGAGACCGAGACCACAGAGAGACCGAGACCAGAAGGAGACCGAGACCACAGAGAGACCGAGACCAGAAGTAGACCAAGACCACAGAGAGACCGAGACCAGAAGGAGACCGAGACCAGAGAGAGACTGGGACCAGAAGGAGACTGAGACCAGAGAGAGGCCCAGACCAGAGAGAGCAGAAGAAGACCGAGACCACAGAGAGACCAAGACCAGAAGAAGACCAAGACCAGAGAGAGACCAGAAGGAGACCGAGACCAGAGAGAGCAGAATAAGACCGAGACCACAGAGAGACCAAGACCAGAAGAAGACCAAGACCAGAAAGAGACCAGAAGGAGACCGAGACCAGAGAGACCAGAAGGAGACTGAGACCACAGAGAGACCAGAGAGAGACCGAGACCAGAAGGAGACCAGAAGGAGACCGAGACCGGAGAGAGACCAAGACCAGAAGGAGACCGAGACCACAGAGAGACCGAGACCAGAGAGAGACCAGAGAGAGACTGAGACTAGAGAGATCAGAGAGAGACCGAGAGACCACAGAGAGACCGAGACCAGAGAGAGACAGAGAGACCAGAAGGAGACCGAGACCACAGAGAGACCTGAGAGACCAGAGAGAGCCTAATATTCAATATACATTCCTCTGTGAATGAAAGTGGTTTGCTCCAGGTGCTGCTGTAGTAAATACATTTCTGTTCAGAGCCGGAGAGGAACCTGTCGGTCTGCGGCGGATTCTGTCACAGTCGTCTGAGTCTCTGAACTTCAGGAGCCGGACTCTGAGTCTGGAGAGTCTCACTGACGAAGGTAAGAACCAGGACCGAGACCAAGACCCAGGACCTAGGACCTAGGACCAGGATCGAGACCCAGGCACAAGACCAGGACCCAAGACCAATGACCAAGACCAGGACCCAAGACCAGGACCTAGGGCCATAACCCAAGAACAGGACCAGGATTGAGACCCAGGACCAGGACCCAGGACCAGGACCAGTACTGTCCTCCTCCTCAGTGTGGTGTGTGGTGTGTGTGAAGCGGAGCAGTGGTGGAGCCCCCTGCTGGAGGAGCTGCAGAACGACACCCGGGGCCTGAGCCTGGACAGCTGGTCCTGTGTCGTGGACCAGAACTTCCTCCGAACGCAGCACAAGGACGTCATCAAACAACAGGACGTGATCTATGGTAAGAGGAGACCCACCTGGTCTGGAAGCAGCAGGATCTGACGGGTCTGAGAGGTCTGAAGGTTAATAATGGTCTCTCTCTGGTCTCTCGCTCTGGTCTCTCTCCCTCTGGTCTCTCTCGCTCTGGTCTCTCTCCCTCTGGTCTCTCTCTCTCTGGTCTCTCTCTGGTCTCTCTCTGGTCTCTCTCTGGTCTCTCGTTCTGGTCTCTCTCTCTCTGGTCTTACTCTGGTCTCTCTCTCTGGTCTCTCTCTCTGGTCTCTCGCTCTGGTCTCTCTCTCTCTCTGGTCTGTCTCTCTGGTCTCTCTCTAGTCTCTCTCTCTGGTCTAGCTCTGGTCTTACTCTGGTCTCTCTCTCTCTGGTCTCTCTCTCTGGTCTCTCTCTCTGGTCTCTCTCTCTGGTCTCTCTCTGATCTCTCTCTGGTCTTCCCTTGACATAGTTATTAAACAGGTAAAAGTACTTGAGTATTCCCCTCTTCTTACTAGAGTAGTTTTCTCGTTGTGAGGGTCAGTCTTTGATCTCTGCTCCTGGTGTTGGACCAGAGAGACTTTTGGTCTAAAGATGTTCTTTGTTTCAGAGCGACCTCACAGAACCACATGGTAAAGAACTGATCAAATGAAAGGTGGAGGTCTGGTCTCTCTCTGGTCTCTCTCTGGTCTCTCTCTGGTCTCTCTCTGGTCTCTCTCTGGTCTCTTTCTGGTCTCTCTCTGGTCTCTCTCTGGTCTCTCTCTGGTCTCTCTCTGGTCTCTCTCTGGTCTCTCTCTGGTCTCTCTCTGGTCTCTCTCTGGTCTCTCTCTGGTCTCCCTCTGGTCTCTCTCTGGTCTCTCTCTGGTCTCTCTCTCTGGTCTCTCTCTCTGGTCTCTCTCTCTGGTCTCTCTCTGGTCTCTCTCTCTGGTCTCTCTCTCTGGTCTCTCTCTGGTCTCTCTCTGGTCTCTCTCTCTGGTCTCTCTCTCTGGTCTCTCTCTGGTCTCTCTCTCTGGTCTCTCTCTCTCTCTGGTCTCTCTCTGGTCCCTCTCTCTGGTCTCTCTCTGGTCTCTCTCTGGTCTTTCTCTGGTCTCTCTCTCTGGTCTCTCTCTCTGGTCTCTCTCTCTGGTCTCTCTCTGGTGCAGGTCTGAGGTGTTTAGGATCCTGTTGGTTTCTCTCACTGTTTTGGTGCTGAGCAATATCATTGCGGTGGTTTTGGTGGTTGTGTGTCCCTCTGTGTGTGTTGTGTGTCCCTCTGTGTGTGATGTGTGTCCCGCTGTGTGTGTTGTGTGTCCCTCTGTGTGTGTTGTGTGTCTCTCTTATGGATCTATAATAATAAGGTGATGGAGTATTAACTTATATCTGTCCCACCCCAGGGCCCAGGGGCCACCTGTGGTCCTGCAGAACCTGACCAGTGGGGCCGGCTCAAAAGTGGCCAAAATGACGTGCGCTGACATGCTGCAGTACCACCCCGGGCCTGTGGGGGTGGACCCAGAATAAGAATTAGCCAATGCTAACATATAGCATCTTCTGACCTCTGGAAAACGTCTTTACAGGATGGTCCAAAAGTGTCTCTTGGCCCAAAGCTCCGGTCCACATGTGTGTCAATGCTGAGTGTTCTGGACCAGTCTAGTTTAGTCGCTGTGGACTTTAGAAGTCTCTCGTTCAAATGAATGGAGCTCTCGCAGCTGACGCATGCACAGATGTGTTTTTTCACAATTTTCTTGTGGGCGGGACCACTCGCGGCCATTTTGGATAGCTCCAGTAGAGCACATTTTGGGCACATTAGTTTGAACAGCGGAGATACTGACTCTGTCCATTAATATATACAGTCTATGAACCTGACAGAGAACCTACAGAGAACCTACAGAGAACCTGACAGAGAACCGAGAGTTTTCATAAAGGAGGATTCTGTGGATGTTCTGATTGGTCAGAACGCTGCCCTCTGTGTTCATTAGTATTTGGAGCAAAGCATCATGGGAGCTCGTCCACAGAACCAGGAGGAATGACCAAATATGGGCGAGTTCTGCTAATCTTTCAGTGCCCATGGGGGGGCACCACTGAGCACAGGCCACTGATTTAAGTAGGCTCACCTCTCTCTGTGTCTCTCACCTTTGGTGTGTGTCTGTGTGTGTCTCTGACCTGTTGTGCGTCTGTGTGTGTCTCTGACCTGTTGTGTGTGTCTGTTGTGCGTCTGTGTGTGTCTCTGACCTGTTGTGTGTCTCTGTTGTGCATCTGTGTGTGTCTCTTACCTATGTTGTGTGTCTCTGTGTGTCTCTGACCCGTTGTGCGTCTGTGTGTGTCTCTGACCTGTTGTGTGTCTGTCGTGCGTCTGTGTGTGTCTCTGACCTGTTGTGCGTCTGTGTGTGTCTCTGACCTGTTGTGTGTCTCTGTTGTGCGTCTGTGTGTGTCTCTGACCTGTTGTGTGTCTCTGTTGTGCGTCTGTGTGTGTCTCTGACCTGTTGTGTGTCTGTGTGTGTCTCTGACCCGTTGTGCGTGTCTGTTGTGTGTCTGTGTGTGTCTCTGACCTGTTGTGTGTCTCTGTTGTGCGCCTGTGTGTGTCTCTGACCTGTTGTGTGTCTGTTGTGCGTCTGGGTGTGTAGAGCTGATGCAGACGGAGCTCCATCACGTGCGTACCCTGAGGATCATGGAGCTGTACCGGCGGGGGCTGGTGGAGGAGGTCCAGCTGGACTCTGGACTGGGACACTCCCTGTTCCCGGTTCTGGACCAACTTCTAGAGCTTCACACCGGGTTCCTACAAGACCTGATCCAGAGACGAGAGGAGGGGAGGGAGGGGGAGGGAGAGCGGGGGAGAAACGCCAACTATGTGGTGAAGAGGATCGGAGACATACTCATCAAACAGGTACAAGTACTACTACTACTGCTACTGCTACTGCTACTGCTACTACTGCTGCTACTGCTACTACTACTGCTACTGCTACTGCTACTGCTACTGCTACTACTACTACTACTGCTACTACTGCTACTACTACTGCTACTACTACTGCTACTACTGCTACTGCTACTACTGCTACTACTACTGCTACTGCTGCTACTGCTACTGCTACTACTGCTACTACTACTGCTACTGCGACTGCTACTACTACTGCTACTAGTACTACTAGTACCACTACTACTACTGGTACTACTACTACTGCTACTGCTGCAGGTACTTCTACCCGGTCTGTGGTCTGCGTCTGACCCGGTCTGTGGTCTTGGTCTGTGGTCTGCGTCTGACCCGGTCTGTGGTCTTGGTCTGTGGTCTGCGTCTGACCCGGTCTGTGGTCTTGGTCTGTGGTCTTGATCTGTGGTCTGCGTCTGACCCGGTGTGTGTGGTCAGTTCTCAGGGTCAAATGCAGAGGAGCTGAGGAAGGTGTACGCTGAGTTCTGCAGTCGACATCCCAAAGCTGTGGCTCTTTATAAAGAAGTGTTTACACGAGACCGGAGACTGCAGGGCTTCATCAAGGTCAGACACACAACACAGACACACAACACACACACACACAGACAGACACACAACACACAGACACACAACACACACACACAAAGACAAACAACACACACACACACACAGACACACACACACATAGACACACACACACACAAAGACACACACACAGACACACAGAGACACAGACACACAGAAACAGACACACACACACACACAGAGACACACACACACAGAAACAGGGATACAGGACGACACTTCCTGTTTCCCATGATCCTCAGCGTAACACTTCCTGTTTCCCATGATCCTCAGCGTGTGACCCGTGGCCCGCTGCTCCGTCGTCATGGTGTTCAGGAGTGTATCCTCCTCGTGACGCAGAGAATCACTAAGTACCCGGTTCTCCTGCAGCGCCTCCTGGACTGCACTAAAGGTGACCTCCTCCTCTCTCCTCCTCTCACCTCCTCTCTCCTCCTCTCTCCTCTTCTCTCCTCCTCTCTCCTCCTCTCTCCTCGTCCTCCTCTCTCTCCTCTCTCCTCTCTCCTCCTCCTCTCTCTCTCCTCTCTCTCCTCCTCTCCTCCTCTTTTCTCCTCTCTCCTCTCTCTCCTCTCTCCTCTCTCCTCTCTCTCCTCTCTCCTCTCTCTCTCTCTCCTCTCTCTCCTCTCTCCTCTCTCCTCTCTCCTCTCCTCTCCTCCTTTCTCTTTTCTCCTTTCTCCTCCTCTCTCCTCCTCTTTCCTCTCCTCTCTCTCCTCTCTCTCCTCTCTCCTCCTCTTCTCTCCTTTCTCCTCCTCTCTCCTCCTCTTTCCTCCTCTCCCTTCTCTCCTCCTCTCATTTTCTCTCCTCTTCTCTCCTCCTCTCTCCTCCTCTTTCCCCCTTTCTCCTCCTTTATCCTCTTCTTTCCTCCTCTTCTCTCCTCCTCTCCTCCGCTTTCCTCCTCTCTCCTCTCCCCTCCTCTCTCCTCTTCTCTCCTCCTCTTTCCTCCTCTCTCTTCTCTCCTCCTCTCTCCTCTCCTCCTCCTCTCTCCTCCTGTTTCCTCCTCCTCTCTCCTCAACTTTCCTCCTCTCTCCTCCTCTTTCCTCCTCTCTCTTCTCTCCTCCTCTCCTTTTCTCTCCTCTTCTCTCCTCCTCTCCTCCTCTTTCCTCCTTTCCCCTCCTTTATCCTCTTCTTTCCTCCTCTTCTCTCCTCCTCTCCTCCGCTTTCCTCCTCTCTCCTCTCCCGTCCTCTCTCCTCTTCTCTCCTCCTCTTTCCTCCTCTCTCTTCTCTCCTCCTCTCTCCTCTCCTCCTCCTCTCTCCTCCTGTTTCCTCCTCCTCTCTCCTCAACTTTCCTCCTCTCTCCTCCTCTCTCCTCTTCTCTCCTCCTCTCTCCTCTCCACAGACCCAGAAGAGTCTCTCCTTGTTCTCTTCTCCTCTCTCCTCACACATATATCTCCTCCTCTCTCTTCTTCCTCCTCCTCCTCCTCCTCCTCCTCACACATATCTCTCCTCCACAGATCCAGAAGAGTCCCCGCTCCTCTCTAAAGCTCTGCGTCTCCTCAAAGACCTCCTCTCCTCGGTGGACAGGGAGGTGCTGGAGCAGGAGAGGAGGTGCAGACTGCAGGAGGTGCAGAACCGTCTGGATCCTCGAGCTGAGGCGTCGGTCAGAGGAGGTGTCTTCAGGAGCGGAGAACTTCACCGACGAACGCTCCTCCATGAAGGAGCAGTGCTGTGGAGGCTACAGGGCTCCCGCATGAAGGGTGAGTCACATGGTCACAGGGTCACATGGTACAGTTGCATGGTCACATGGTACAGTCGCATGGCCACATGGTACAGTCGCATGGTAACATGGTACAGTCACATGGTAACATGGTACAGTCACATGGTACAGTCACATGGTCACAGGGTACAGTCACATGGTAACATGGTACAGTCACATGGTAACATGGTACAGTCACATGGTACAGTCACATGGGAACATGGTACAGTCACAGGGTACAGTCACATGGTACAGTCACATGGTAACATGGTACAGTCACAGGGTACAGTCACATGGTACAGTCACATGGTAACATGGTACAGTCACATGGTAACATGGTACAGTCACATGGTCACAGGGTCAATCAATCCTTGATTCTCTCACAGATGGATAAACATCAGGTCTGTGTACTCTATATTTACACATATATCCACACGCTCCTTATGACAGTTATTCAACAGCAAAGAGGGCCTGTGGGGGTGCACCCGGAAGAAGAATTAGCCAATGCTAACATATAGCATCTTCTTACCTCTGGAAAACATCTTTACAGGATGGTCCAAAAGTGTCTCTTGGCCCAAAGCTCCGTTCCACATGTGTGTCAATGCTGAGTGTTCTGGACCAGTCTAGTTTAGTCGCTGTGGACTAGCTCCAGTAGAGCACATTTTTTGGCCCATGAGTTGTAACTGCGGAGATACTGACTCTGTCCGTTAATATTTACAGTCTATGGTGTTAACAGACTTTCTATGAGTAACACAGTACATACGGAAAGCATGCAGATCTTTTTAAAGGGACATTGTCACTCTGACCCGCCTCGTCCAATAGGGCGTGTCAGAGGGTGAGTGTGGGTGGGGTCAGCACTAGATCATAAACAGAAGCAGAATATAACAAACTACCCATTTAAGTGAAACGGCTGCGACCTCGTCCACGAGCCGTTTACAAACGACACAGTGTAGACTCGACTATTTCATAACCCTAACCTGTGACAGACACACACACACCAGTCAGTCACAGTGGACTCTGGCTCCCCCTACAGAACAAAAACGGCACGTGAGCACATGGTTAGCTAGTCAAACAAAAAGTACAGAAGAACTAAAAATTAGTGATGTGCTGAGCGTGCCGGGTCTTCGAAGCGTGTACCGAGTAAAAAAGGGGCGTATTTTTTGAAGCGTGGTTCGAGGCGTGTGTTGGTGACGTATGTGGTGACGTTCGAAGCCTCGCGTAGCGGCCGCACCACGTGACGGTTCATATAGTGCTTCATATAGTTCGGAGAGTGCATTGCTTTGACAGGTGCTTTGTGATCCGCGGCTGTACCATAGACTGTATTGGCTGTCCCCGTCTGCCTCTGTGTGCGTACGTGTGTGTGCGTACGTGTGTGTGCGTACGTGTGTGTGCGTGATGTGGAGCAGTCCTGTACTAAGTATAGAGAAACTACTTCATATGAAATACAATTAAAAACGTTTCACTTTAGTAAAACCTCATATATCAAGGCTTCAAGTTATTAGTAATAATACGCTGGATAATACATTTCACAACAGCTGTGTGGCGCAGTCGGTCTATGACGGACTCCGAAGTAGAAGATATAGCGCTCGAATCCCGGTCTACCCATAATACATTTTGTGTTGCAAAGTAAATGTATTTATTTATTGGGAATAAATGGTTTGTTGTGTTTAATTAATCCACCTCTTGATAGTTTTTCCTCCATTCATCACTTTCTGTAGAACTGTATTACTTTGGATGTGTTTGTTGTATCAACACAATTGACTGAAAGACTCAAATAGTTCATAGTTCATGAAGCATCATTTCAAACACAACACATTAGACCATAGATTGTAAATATACATTTTAACATTAGATCTCACCATTCATTGTAAGCACTTAAGAGTGTTATGTATTTCTTTGTCCACATGATGGCGTAGTGGAGCATGATTCACCTCGAGCCTTCGACTCATGGGCCGAGTAATAGGCTGCGATCCCTCAAGGCTTCATGGGGCTTCATATTGCCATCACTACTAAAAATGTGCGCCAGAAAATGTGCAAAAACACGCTCACTACAGCCCAACACATTTCCCACTAAACATATCCTAATGAACACCACGAAAAATAAAGCCAAATGATTGAAAACACGTATCCCTCACAGAGACAGAACTCACCCTATGAAGCATTCAACACGGCTCTGAGAGGGGAAGTTCAGCGCCAAAATAAAACACAGGGGAGCAAGAATTTCAGGAATTTCAAAATAAAACGTCAAAATAATAAAATTCACACAATATTACATGTTAAAATAAAATACAACCAAATATTAAACAAAAAAATATAAAGTGCATTTCTATAGCGAACTATCTGAATGACGTCACTAAGACACGCCCCCGCCGCCTGTCAACTCCCGCCCACATGTTTCGGACAAACACTGCCGAAATGAATCAAATACCACTTGTCACTTTAGACGAAAATGAAATACCAGGGGCAAAATTCCACCATCAAACCATCAGGGATCATAGTGTAGACCAATTATAACGTTGGCTTGAATGTCGTGGTCTTCCAGTAGAAAGTTTGAGTTGATAAAAAGATAATGGTAAGGATTATGCTAACATTATCTAGTCATTTAAATTGCAATGCTAGCGCCTTCTTTGTTTGTTTTGCTGTGATTAACTTCCATTTATCAAGTTTTTTTTTTTTTGCACTATCCACTTTGTAATTAGTTTGATCATTAGTTAGCTACAGTCAGCTGATATTATAACAGATCCATGGGGTCACAACGGGTTACGCCACTACTGTCTCTGAGAGAGAAACTATCGGAGCTAGCCACACTCAGTAAACGCAAATGACCATCAATCGACACATTTAAATGTTAATGGGAGAATACATTATACATACATTCATAACACAAGTGCACGGAGGTTTTCAGAATTATCTGTTCAGGTTTTCATGACAAAAATACTTTTTTAATGCAACTAAAGCGATCGCTTTTTTAAAGTAGGTTAACTATCCTCACTGTTATTCGCCTGCCACGGGAAAACCTTTGGGAACTATTTTCTTTGCACTCATTAAATAAACCTTTCGGCATTAATAGTGAATGACGTTTATTTTGCGTGTTGAGTTGGTACAAAGCCGTATAATAAGCGGACCCCGACGCGCTTCGTCTGAACTTATTTTCCGATAGTCACAAAGTTGAAAAAAATCCCTCTCATCTTTCTTCAGGTGTGAGAATTGTATACTTTCTGGATTAGGACAAACAATACTAATATGGATTGATGGGGGTAAATGGTGTAAAGAGAGAGTTTGTGCTAACTACATTCAGAAGAGCTCAGACGGACCAGATACAGCGGTCCAGATCCAGTCCCAGCTAAACGTAGCTAGGACTGGATCTGGAGGCTCCACAGTTGGTCCAGCGAAGTGTTTTGAAAAAACATGTGTCCTTTTTAACCTTTTCATGAGAGAAATTCTGCCGACCACAAGCACCCACCTCTTGCACTTGTCCTGGTCTGATCTGGTCCTGGTCTGGTCCTGATCTGGTCCGATGTTGTGGTTTAACGAACGGGTTGAATGTTACTTTGATAGTCCTTTTCAGAATATCTGAAATCGCTCCGACAAGCACCATAACTGCAGTGTTTTGTTGTCACCATGATTTAATGATTTAGCCCAAGTAAATACACACGCGTATGTGGAGAACACAGTAGTACTCAACGCGTCGTACACAATGTTTGTCCGAAACATGCGCGCATGCGCAGTCATCTGAGCTATTTTTAGCACATTTCGGAAACCGGACAGTGCCCTATATCCGTTACATATGCCTAAACTTAACCAGCCATTCCCATTAAATAACCCCAACCAGCCTAACCTTTAACCATCTTACTCAGACCACCTTAACCCTAACCTTAACCATCTTACTCAGACACCTAAAACTTAACCAGACACCACTTAAGGACTTTTTAGTCTAAAACTAATTTGAAAGTAGGATTGCTACTTCCGGTTTCGTCCCGATTCCGTTTATGATCTAGTGCCGACCGTGTGGGTGGGGGAGGTGGAGGGTCACATGGTACAGTCACAGGGTCACGTGGTACACACACATGGTGCAGTCACATGGTGCACTCACATGGTACAGTCACATAGTACACCCACATGGTACACTCACATGGTACAGTCACATGGTAGAGTCACATGGTCTTCTTCTCTTGCAGACGTCCACCTGTTGCTCATGAATGATGTGCTGGTTTTCCTTCAGGACAAAGACCAGAAGTTCACTTTTGCTTCTCTGGTGAGTCCCACATGGTCCAATCATATAGTCATGCTAACAATAGCATGAGCTAACATGCTAATGCTAACGTCGCTCACTGTTGTTATAGTAATGCTAATTTTGGCAGGGTCAGCTAACATGCTAATGCTAGATTTAGCAGGTCAGCTAACTTGCTAATGCTAATGTGTCCAGGACAAGTCCCCGGTGGTGTTGCTCACTGTTGTTAGAGTAATGCTAGCTTTAGCAGGGCCGGCTAACATGCTATTGCTAGCTTTAGCAGGGTTAGCTAACATGCTAATGTGTCCAGGACAAGTCCCCGGTGGTGTTGCTCACTGTTATAGTAATGCTAGCTTTAGCAGGCTCAGCTAACATGCTAATGCTAGCTTTAGCAGGGTTACCTAACATGCTAATGCTAATGTGTCCAGGACAAGTCCCCGGTGGTGTCGCTCACTGTTATTATAGTAATGCTAGCTTTAGCAGGGCCAGCTAATATGCTAATGCTAGCCTTAGCAGGGTTAGCTAACATGCTAATGCTAATGTGTCCAGGACAAGTCCCCGGTGGTGTCGCTCACTGTTATTATAGTAATGCTAGCTTTAGCAGGGCCAGCTAACATGCTAATGCTAGCTTTAGCAGGGTTAGCTAATGTTAATTTGTCCACAACAAGCCCTCGGTGGTGTCGCTCACTGTTGTTATAGTACTGCTAGCTTTAGCAGGGTTAGCTAACATGCTAATGCCAATGTGTCCAGGACAAGTCCCCGGTGGTGTCGCTCACTGGGCTCATTGTCAGAGACATCGCAAATCAAGAGAAAGGTCTTTATCTGATCAGTGACTGCACTCCTCCTGAAATGTACGAGATCCACACCAGGAGCAAAGAGGAGCGCAAGGCCTGGATCAACCGCATCCAGCAGGCTGTCATCAGGTGAGGACCATGTGGGAACACCAGCAGGCTGTCATCAGGTGAGGACCATGTGGGAACACCAGCAGGCTGTCATCAGGTGAGGACCATGTTGGGCAACCAGCAGGCTGTCATCAGGTGAGGACCATGTGGGCACCAGCAGGCTGTCATCAGGTGAGGACCATGTGGGAACACCAGCAGGCTGTCATCAGGTGAGGACCATGTGGGAACACCAGCAGGCTGTCATCAGGTGAGGACCATGTTGGGCAACCAGCAGGCTGTCATCAGGTGAGGACCATGTGGGAACACCAGCAGGCTGTCATCAGGTGAGGACCATGTGGGAACACCAGCAGGCTGTCATCAGGTGAGGACCATGTTGGGCAACCAGCAGGCTGTCATCAGGTGAGGACCATGTGGGCACCAGCAGGCTGTCATCAGGTGAGGACCATGTGGGAACACCAGCAGGCTGTCATCAGGTGAGGACCATGTGGGAACACGAGCAGCCTGTCATCAGGTGAGGACCATGTGGGAACACCAGCAGGCTGTCATCAGGTGAGGACCATGTTGGGCAACCAGCAGGCTGTCATCAGGTGAGGACCATGTGGGAACACCAGCAGGCTGTCATCAGGTGAGGACCATGTGGGAACACCAGCATGCTGTCATCAGGTGAGGACCATGTTGGGCAACCAGCAGGCTGTCATCAGGTGAGGACCATGTGGGAACACCAGCAGGCTGTCATCAGGTGAGGACCATGTGGGAACACCAGCAGGCTGTCATCAGGTGAGGACCATGTGGGAACACCAGCAGGCTGTCATCAGGTGAGGACCATGTGGGAACACCAGCAGGCTGTCATCAGGTGAGGACCATGTGGGAACACCAGCAGGCTGTCATCAGGTGAGGACCATGTGGGAACACCAGCAGGCTGTCATCAGGTGAGGACCATGTTGAGCAACCAGCAGGCTGTCATCAGGTGAGGACCATGTGGGAACACCAGCAGGCTGTCATCAGGTGAGGACCATGTGGGAACACCAGCAGGCTGTCATCAGGTGAGGACAACTGTAGATGTACGAGGTCCAGGAGCAAAAAGTCCGGGTCGTCCCGGTCAGAGTCCCGGTCAGAGTCCCGGTCAGAGTCCCGGTCAGAGTCCCGGTCAGAGTCCCGGTCAGAGTCCCGGTCAGAGTCCGGGTCAGAGTCCGGGTCAGAGTCCGGGTCGTTAACCACAAATGTATTTGTTACAGTTGTCCGTCTCGAACCGAGTTCCCGTTGATCGAGACCGAAGACAAAGCTTTGCTGCGCCGCCTCAGAGGTACAATACGGTCTCACTCTGGTCCCTCTCTGGTCTCTCTCTGGTCTCTCTCTCTGGTCTTTCTCTGGTCTTTCTCTGGTCACTCTCTCTGGTCTCTCTTTGGTCTCTCTCTCTGGTCACTCTCTCTGGTCTCTCTCTTTGGTCTCTCTCTCTGGTCTCTCTCTGGTCTCCCTCTGGTCTCCCTCTGGTCTCCTTCTGGTCTCTCTCTGGTCTCCCTCTGGTCTCTCTCTCTTGTCTCTCTCTGGTCTCCCTCTGGTCTCTCTCTCTTGTCTCTCTCTGGTCTCTCTCTGGTCTCCCTCTGATCCCTGTGTCCTCCCTCAGCTGAGATCCAGCAGAAGGACCGGGAGGTGCTGGAGCTACTGCAGGAGAGACTGACCCTGTTCTCAGACCTGGTCCAGATCACGAGTCCAGAGTCTGAGACCGAGACCAGACCCAAGACCGACCTGCACCGACGGATGTTCCGCTCGGACAGTGGCACCGCCCCCCAGGGAGAGCCGCTGCTGAACGGGGCCATCACCGAAGGTAACCACGGCGTGACCTCACCACTGTGTGACATCACCACAGTGTGACATCACCACTGTGTGACATCAAAGCAAACTAGAGACAAGCAGAGAGAGACCAGAGAGAGATCAAAGAGAGAGACCAGAGTTAGACCAGAGAGAGACCAGAGAGAGACCAGAGAGAGATCAAAGAGAGAGACCAGAGTTAGACCAGAAAGAAACCAGAGAGAGACCAGAGAGAGACCAGAGAGAGACCAGAGAGAGACCAGAGAGAGACCAGAGAGAGACCAGAGAGAGACCAGAGGGAGACCAGAGGGAGACCAGAGGGAGACCAGAGGGAGATCAGAGGGAGATCAGAGGGAGACCAGAGGGAGACCAGAGGGAGACCAGAGGGAGACCAGAGGGAGACCAGAGGGAGACCAGAGGGAGACCAGAGAGACCAGAGAGAGACCCGAGAGAGACCCGAGAGACCAGAGAGAGACCAGAGAGACCAGAGAGAGACCAGAGAGAGACCAGAGAGAGACCGGAGAGACTCACTTCAAACAGCTCGTACTCAACATGAAAACCTGTTATTTCCAGTGGAGAAACTCAGCGAGATCCTGATGAACTGCAAGATCCAGAGGAATCAGCCAATCAGTGAGTATGACACACGTCACTCTGAAAGACCACGCCCCCTCAGACAAGACTACACCCATCGGACAAGGCCACACCCCCTCAGACAAGACCACGCCCCTCAGACAAGATCACACACCCTATGACTAGGCCACGCCCCCTCAGACTAGGTCACGCCCCGTCAGACTAATATTTCCTTTTTTGTTTTCAGACGAGGCGCCGCTAAATGGATGTGTTCAGATCAACGGCTCCAGCAAAGTGAGACATGTGACCTGCTACATCAGCTAATGCTAACATATGCTAATGCTAACATTAGCTCATAATAATACTCCACTCTACTCTACACTACTCTACTCTACTCTACTCTACCCTAACATACTCTACTCTACCCTAGAGCCCTGCACTTGAGCCCTTGGCCCGAGGGCCCCGACGGCCCGACAGCCCGAGGGCCGGGCTTCGGGCCGATGACCGCATAATGACCTCGGACACGGGCCGGGCTCGGGCTCTTCATTTTCAGAGCGGCAGAATAGATTTACGAACGCACCCACTGAATATAGCGTTCTATCACGCTGTAGTGTTTGTTGTTCTGTGTAGTGTTGTAATTGACGGCACATAGCGTTACTTACAGGTGTGTTGCAGCATCTGGACATCATACAGATGCGGCCGTTCACTCTGCACCACTCCGCACACACAGAACTCATTGCAACACATCACTACCATGTATAACTCCGCCCTCTAGCTAAGTCTGCGTTCATATCAGTGCGCGGCACTATATACTACGCTAAAACATTGTTATGGGAGGTTACAAAAAAAAAAAAAGGCGGGCTTGATGCGGGTTTCGGGCCTGAAAATTCAGAAACCATATCGGGCCGGGCCGGGCTGGGGCGCCACCCCCTCGGGCCAGGGCCGGGCTCGGGCCCAGATAATAGGCCCGTGCAGGGCTCTACTCTACCCTACCCTACCCTACTCTACTCTACTCTACCCTACCCTACTCTACTCTACTCTACTCTACCCTACTCTACTCTGCTGTATTCTACTCTACCCTACTCTACTCTACCCTACCCTACCCTACTCTACCCTACCCTACTCTACTCTACTCTACCCTACCTTACCCTACTCTACTATACTCTACTCTACCCTACTCTGCCCTACCCTACCATACTCTACTCTACCCTACTCTACTATACTCTACCCTACTCTACTCTTCTCTACTCTACTCTTCCCTACTCTACTCTACCCTACTCCACTCTACTATACCCCACTCTACTCTACTCTCCGTTACTCTACTCTACTCTGCTGTATTCTACTCTACCCTACCCTACTCTACTCTACTCTACTCTACCCTACCCTACTCTACCCTACCCTACTCTACTCTACTCTAATCTACCCTACGCTACTCTACCCTACTCTACTCTACCCTACCCTACTCTACTCTACCATACCCTACCCTACCCTACTCTACTCTACTCTACTCTACTACTCCACTCTACTATACTGTATTCTCCTCTACTCTACCCTACCCTACCCTACTTTACCCTACCCTACCCTACTCTGCTGTATTCTCCTCTACTCTACTCTACTCCTACTCTACCCTACCCTACTCTACTCTACTCTACCCTACTCTACTCTACTCTACTCTACCCTACTCTACTCTACCCTACTCTACTCTGCTGTATTCTACTCTACCCTACTCTACTCTACTCTACTCTACTCTACTCTACTCTACTCTACTCTACCCTACTCTACTCTACTCTACTCTACTCTACTCTACCCTACTCTACTCTGCTGTATTCTACTCTACCCTACTCTACCCTACCCTACTCTTCTCTACTCTACCCTACTCTACCCTTCCCTACACTACCCTACACTACTCTACCTTACTCTACTCTACTCTACTCTACCCCTACTCTTCTCTACTCTACCCTTCTCTACTCTACTCTACCTTACTCTACCCTACTCTACTCTACTCTACCCTACTCTACTCTACCCTTCTCTACTCTACTCTACCCCACCCTACTCTACCTTACTCTACCCTACTCTACTCTACTCTACTATACCCTACTCTACCTTACCCTACCCTAGTCAACTCTACCCTACTCTACCCTACTCTACTCTGCTGTATTCTACTCTACTCTACCCTACTCTACTCTGCTGTATTCTACTCTACTCTACTCTACTCTGCTGTATTCTACTCTACTCTATTCTACTCTACTCTACTCTGCTGTATTCTACTCTACTCTAGTATACTCTACCCTACGCTACTCTACTCTACTCTACTCTACTCTACTCTACCCTAGAGTAGAGTCTGAAGTATGTGTCTTTTTCCAGGATAAGAATGGGAACCAGCAGGGGGCAGCACTGAGTCAGGTATCATCTGTTTCTGTGACTTTTATTTTCAAGTTTGAGTTAAATCTGTTTAAACCTGATTTTCTTTTGAAGGAAACGTGTAGACGACTGGTGGCTCTGAGCTCCCAACTGCACGCTCTGCAGGTGAGGACCGCAACAACCTCAGGAGAGGGGTAGAGGAGCGCAACAACACAAGGAGAGGGATAGGAGAGCGCAACAACACAAGGAGAGGGACAGGAGAGGACCAGCACAACACTAGGAGAAAGACAGGAGAGGACCAGCACAACACTAGGAGAAAGACAGGAGAGGACCAGCACAACACTAGGAGAAAGACAGGAGAGGACCAGGACAACACTAGGAGAAAGACAGGAGAGGACCAGCACAACAATAGGAGAAAGACAGGAGAGGACCAGCACAACACTAGGAGAAAGACAGGAGAGGACCAGCACAACACTAGGAGAAAGACAGGAAAGGACCAGCACAACACTAGGAGAAAGACAGGAGAGGACCAGGACAACATTAATGACCTTTGATCTAATGTCCCGCCCCCAGGCCGCTGTCATTCGTCAGGATTCGCTGCTGGAGTTGTCCATCAGGTTAGGTCCCGCCCCTCAGAGCACAGGGCCGGGCCAGGACGGGGAGGCGGGGCTTCTCCGTCGCCAAGTATCGCTTCTCCAACAGGAAGTGACCCGTCTGCACGCTCTAATCCCATTGGCCGAGCTGAGACGCCACTCCCGAGCTCCAATGGCGGCGAAGGAGGAGGACGCTGTGGACACGAGCAACGAGAATGTGTCGCAGCGATCGGACAGTCCCAGAGGTCAGAGAGAGACCAGCGAGAGACCAGAGAGAGACCAGAGAGAGACCAGAGAGAGACCAGAGACAGACCAGAGAGAGACCAGCGAGAGACCAGAGAGAGACCAGAGAGAGACCAGAGAGAGACCAGAGACAGACCAGAGAGAGACCAGAGAGAGACCAGAGAGAGACCAGAGATCAGAGACCAGAGAGAGACCAGAGAGAGACCAGAGAGAGACCAGAGCGAGACCAGAGCGAGACCAGAGAGAGACCAGAGAGAGACCAGAGAGAGACCAGAGAGAGACCAGAGAGAGACCAGAGAGAGACCAGAGAGAGACCAGAGAGAGACCAGAGAGAGACCAGAGCGAGACCAGAGCGAGACCAGAGCGAGACCAGAGCGAGACCAGAGCGAGACCAGAGCGAGACCAGAGCGAGACCAGAGCGAGACCAGAGCGAGACCAGAGCGAGACCAGAGAGAGAAACCAGAGAGAGAAACCAGAGAGAGAGACCCAAGAGAGAGACTAGAGGCAGACCAGAGAGAGAGACCAGGGAGAGACCAGCGAGAGACCAGAGACATACCTGAGGTCAGAGGTCATACCCTAATGATCATTTCTTCTTCTTTGTGTCACAGATCTGCAGGACATCCCAGAGGAGAGCGAAACCTGAAGTCCCATGACCTGAAGTGGGCGTGGCCTGAAGTCCCATGACCTGAAGTGGGCGTGGCCTGTCCTGATTGGTCCATGTTAAACCAGAGACATTGCTGTACTGTTCTCTTGCTGAGCACAAAAACCTGAGACCTACACGTTTGAAAAACCAAATACACTCTGGACCTGAGCCCTAATGCTGTACTCTACCACACTATACTAAGCTGTACTACACTATGCTACACTATACTACACAATACTGCGCTGTACTACACAATACTATGCTGTACTACACAATACTTTGCTGTACTACACATCAGGTTGTGTTCATGTGACATCACAACACTCCAAAGAGCCGATCATATAACAGGGTGCTGGTCTCTCTTTGGTCTCTCCTCTCTCGGGTCTCTCTCGGGCCTCTCTCGGGTCTCTCTCTTTGGTCTCTCTCTGGTCTCTCGCTGGTCTCGCTCTAGTCTCGACAGTTAAAACAATAAAACAACATGAACACAACCTGTACCTTTTCTACACATGACTTAACTGTTAGCCAGTTAGCGGCTAACGCACTAGCATAACTCTGGCTAACGCACTATCATGACTCTGGCTAACGCACTAGCATGACTTGGACAAACGGCTAGCTCACTACAATGATTTACTACTGCATGATTCTGGCTAACGCACTATAAATACTTGCTAATGTACTAGCATGATTCTGGCTAACGCACTAGCTTGACTGACACAGATTAGAGGACTTCACTGGGCTGCGTGCTGGTCTGTTTTAATCGTAACCATGACAACCAAACGGTAACATCAGTCGCGGATCAGACCTGGATCCGACTGAAACTTGAACTTTAACAAATTAAGTAATTCCAGTGGAAATAACTTTAAAAGCTGTGTCTGCGTGTGCGCTTACGTGTGCGATTCTCTCTGCGTGTACGTGTGCGTCTGCGTGTGTACGTCTGTGTGTATGTGTGCATGTACATCTGCGTATACGTCTGCGTGTGTAAGCCTGTGTATACGTGTGCGTGTGTCGCTGAGACTGAATGATTTCTGTGTAAATCTGCAGTGATTCCTTAAAACTGGAACTGATGTAAATAAACTGCTGTAAGTGACTGAAGCAAGAGACCGTCTCACTCTACTCTACTCTACTGTACTGTACTGTACTCTACTCTACTCTGCTGTACTCTGCTCTACTCTACTCTACTGTACTCTACTCTACTCTACTCTAGAGTAGAGTTGGTGGAAACAGGGTGATGGACTCAAATGTATAAATAGTGATTGAAATGAGCCCACAGGTCACATGGGACGCAGCTTTTTAGATTTATTTATATGGAGGCGGGGCTTAGACTGTGACCTCTGACCTCTGCATGTGCTGTCTGTGCTGTGTGTAGAGTAGAAACATGTGATTATTGTATAGATTCAAATCAAAGTCTTTTATATCACAATAAAAGTGTCCTTGAAACCTGTTGTTCCTGAGTGTTCTTCATGTGGCGGCTGTCTTACCTGTGGCTCCTCCCCCTCGTTAGAACACCTGTTCACACTGGGACCAGAGCAGTCAATTTGACTGCATTTAGTTTTGGAAGTGTAAGATCTCTTCTCATGGTCTGAGTGTGTGAAGTGTGACCATGAGTGTGTGTGACCGTGTGTGTGTCACCATGTGTGTGTGTGACCATGTGTATGTGTGTGACCATGTGTGTGTCCATGTGTGTGACCATGTGTGTGTCCATGTGTGTGACCATGTGTGTGTCTATGTGTGTGACCATGTCTGTGTGACCATGTGTGTGAGTCCATGTGTGTGACCATGTCTGTGTGACCATGTGTGTGTCCGTGTGTGTGACCATGTGTGTGTGTGTAAATCCTCATGGTTAGTATAGTTGGGAGCCTCTTCTTCTTCAAAGGCTTTGGTCCAAACTTTCCAAGTCAAATGAGTCACGGTTTAGTTCAAACAAGATTAAGTTTCTGCTTTGACTGAAGTTCTACTGAAACACCAGAGTTTACCATCAACGTTACTGTACCATCGAAGGATACTTTACCATCGACGTTACTGTACCATCGAAGGATACTTTACCATTGACGTTACTGTACCATCGAAGGATACTTTACCATCGACGTTACTGTACCATCGAAGGATACTGTACCATCAACGTTACTGTACCATCAACGTTACTGTACCATCAAAGTTACTGTACCATCGAAGGATACTTTACCATCGAAGGATACTGTACCATCAACGTTACTGTACCATCGAAGGATACTTTACCATCGAAGTTACTGTACCATCGAAGTTACTGTACCATCAACGTTACTGTACCATCAAAGGATACTTTACCATCGACGATACTGTACCATAGATGATACCATAGATGACACCATAGACGATACTTTACCATAGACGATACTTTACCATAGACGATACCATAGACAACACATTACCATAGACGATACTGTACCATAGACGATACCATAGACGACACCATAGACGATACTTTACCATAGACGATAGTTTACCATAGACGATACTTTAGCATAGACGATACCATAGACAATACTTTACCATAGACGATACTTTACCATAGACGATACCATAGACCAGTGTCTCCCAAAGTGGGGTCCGCGGCCCCCTGGTGGGCCGCGAGGGTACTGCAGGGGGGCCGCGGGAGGTCATAAAAAAAATAATATAATTATTTAATGTTAAATTTATAATGTTTTGTTTGTAATATTAAAATATTTGTGTTCATTATTTGACTTGAATAATCCACTGTAATCATTTTTGTATTACAATGTTTGTAGCAGAGGCTATTTCCCCAAAATAAAATAACCAGAAGAGCCTATTCTTAATGTTGTCTTCTTGGTTATTATTTTGGGGGGCCACGCAGACCCGTCAGATTTTTAAGGGGGCCTCGGTGTTACTGAGTTTGGGAATGGCTGCCATAGACGATACCATAGACGATACTCTACCATAGACAGACTTGCGTAACTGAATTAGCGTCGCAGAGAACAGGTCACAAAACAGAGGTTCCTACCCGAGGATTACAAAATAAAACAACAAAACATTCAAAAATAATTCTAAAACACACACTCTCTCTGTACTCTCTCTGGTCTCTCTCTCTGGTCTCTCTCTGCTCTCTCTCTGCATGTACTCTCTCTGGTCTCTTTCTGGTCTCTCTCTCTGGTATCTCTCTCTGGTCTCTCTCTGGTCTCTTCTGTGTCTCTCACTGGTCTCTCTCTGGTTGCTCTCTCTGGTCTCTTTCTGTGTCTCTCTCTGGTCTCTCTCTGGTCTCTCTCTCTGTACTCTCTCTGGTCTCTCTCTCTGGTCTCTCTATGGTCTCTCTCTCTGGTCTCTCTCTGCTCTCTCTCTGGTCTCTTTCTGGTCTCTCTCTGGTCTCTCTCTGGTCTTTCTCTGGTCTCTCTCTGGTCTCCCTGGTCTCTGTCCTCTTCTACTTCATCTGTCGTTGTGATCACTTCAGCTGTAGTGTGTTTATTGCTATTCACCTGCTGTCCCATTGTCTGATTCATGGCGTGATGCCGGGACCCCTGACCCTAACCTGGTCCCCCCTCTACGCCTGGGATCCCCTTCAGTCCTGGGTCTACAGCCTCAGTCCTGGGTCTACAGCCTCAGTCCTGGTCTACAGCGTCAGTCCTGGGTCTACAGCCTCAGTCCTGGGTCTACAGCCTCAGTCCTGGGTCTACAGCCTCAGTCCTGGTCTACAGTCTCAGTCCTGGGTCTACAGCCTCAGTCCTGGTCTACAGCGTCAGTCCTGGGTCTACAGCCTCAGTCCTGGGTCTACAGCCTCAGTCCTGGGTCTACAGCCTCAGTCCTGGTCTACAGTCTCAGTCCTGGGTCTACAGCCTCAGTCCTGGGTCTACAGCCTCAGTCCTGGTCTACAGCCTCAGTCCTGGGTCTACAGTCTCAGTCCTGGGTCTACAGCCTCAGTCCTGGGTCTACAGCCTCAGTCCTGGGTCTACAGCCTCAGTCCTGGGTCTACAGTCTCAGTCCTGGGTCTACAGCCTCAGTCCTGGATCTACAGCCTCAGTCCTGGGTCTACAGCCTCAGTCCTGGGTCTACAGCCTCAGTCCTGGTCTACAGCCTCAGTCCTGGGTCTACAGCCTCAGTCCTGGGTCTACAGCCTCAGTCCTGGGTCTACAGCCTCAGTCCTGGGTCTACAGCCTCAGTCCTGGGTCTACAGCCTCAGTCCTGGTCTACAGCCTTAGTCCTGGTCTACAGCCTCAGTCCTGGTCTACAGCCTCAGTCCTGGGTCTACAGCCTCAGTCCTGGGTCTACAGCCTCAGTCCTGGTCTACAGCCTCAGTCCTCGGTCTACAGTCGCAGTCCTGGTCTACAGCCTCAGTCCTGGTCTACAGCCTCAGTCCTGGTCTACAGGCTCAGTCCTGGGCCTACAGCCTCAGTCCTGGGTCTACAGTCTCAGTCCTGGTCTACAGCCTCAGTCCTGGTCTACAGCCTCAGTCCTGGTCTACAGCCTCAGTCCTGGGTCTACAGCCTCAGTCCTGGGTCTACAGTCTCAGTCCTGGTCTACAGCCTCAGTCCTGGTCTACAGTCTCAGTCCTGGTCTACAGCCTCAGTCCTGGTCTACAGCCTCAGTCCTGGGCCTACAGCCTCAGTCCTGGGTCTACAGCCTCAGTCCTGGTCTACAGCCTCAGTCCTGGGTCTACAGTCTCAGTCCTGGTCTAGAGCCTCAGTCCTGGTCTACAGTCTCAGTCCTGGGTCTACAGCCTCAGTCCTGGGTCTACAGTCTCAGTCCTGGTCTACAGCCTCAGTCCTGGTCTACAGTCTCAGTCCTGGTCTACAGCCTCAGTCCTGGTCTACAGCCTCAGTCCTGGTCTACAGCCTCAGTCCTTGACCTTGGAGATAGTTTGCTTATGCATTAGGACTTTATGCTTGAGGTGAAAACAAACAAATGCAAACAGATCCAAGTGATTATCCCTGATTTCCATCATTTTCCCTAAGCCGCCTCCTCCGACTTTATCTTCTCCGACGGTATCTCCTCCTCAGACCCTCCTCAGAGCC